ATGCATTTGAAATCAGAAGAAGTCTGTTTACTGAAAGGAAATGCATACGGAAGAGTTGATGCCCCACTATTGTTCTACAAAGAGTTTCGTCGACGACTAGAAGAACAAGGATTTGAAGCACACCCCATGGATGGTTGTTTATTCTTGTTGAGAAATCCCACCAACCCCAAGATCTTGGAAGGGATACTAGGAACACATGTAGATGACGGAATAGGAGGTGGAACCAAGTTCTTCGAGGAAGCTTTGGAAAGACTGCAAAAAACACCTGCCTTTCGGAAGTCGAGAATATCGGAAATTTCGATTTACCGGACTAGACATGGAACAAATGCCAGACTTTTCAATAAGGGTAAGTCAAGAAAACTATGTAATGAAAATAGACCCAATTGATGTGCCCAAAATTCGAAGAAAAGAGACAGAAACACCAGCAAACCCACATGAAGTGCAGCAACTTCGAGCATTGTGCGGAAGTTTGCAGTATGCCGCCGTCCACTCCCGGCCAGACATGGCTGCAAAGGTGGCTTTCCTTCAAAAGCAGATTTGCAAGGCAACAATCGCAGACTTGCTGGAAGGAAATCGAATACTGAATGAGGCAAAAGAATTTGCTTCAACAGCAATCTATGTTCGTCCAATTCCATTGGAAGAAATAACATTTGCTAGTTTTGGAGACGCCAGTTTTGCTTCAGAAAGTAAACTAAAAGCACAGCAGGGTTTGTTTATAATGGCATGCACAAAACGGTTGCAAGAAAACAAAGCGTCAGATTTCACTCCAATAGCTTGGAATTCCAAACAAATTGGTCGAGTAGTTAGATCTACTCTAAGTGCCGAAGCATATGCTATGTCCTCGTCACTTGACAAACTCACATGGATTCGTTGTCTTTGGAGTTACATCCATGACCCAAAACTTCAATGGTATAAGCCGGAAGAAGCTTTAAAGAATGTTCCCAAGGCACTCTTGATCACAGACTGCAAAAGTCTTTATGACTTAGTCACTAAGCTTGCAGTACCAAACTGTCAGGAGTGGAGAACAACCATTGAAGTGATGTTGATTAAGGAACAAGCCGGAGAACATTCGACATGCCGCTGGATATCCACAGCTATCATGCTGGCCGATGCTTTAACGAAGCCCATGGACTCAACGTTCATGCGTCGTGTCCTTCAACTAGGTCGGTTCAGAATCTACGATGAAGAAGGAACGCTCAAGCATAATGCAAATCGCAAATATGGCAAAACATGCTGGCTGGAACCAAACACATTCGAACAGAGAAAAGAAAACGAATGTGAATCCAGTGGAGTCGGGAGGCAGGGTTCCTTCGAATGTGTCCCATCGCAATGACGATGGCTCAA